GTAGAAAAAAAGCATTAGCAGGCACTTCTCATCTGAGGCCACTTTCAGTACAAGTGAAATCCCTCTGGAGCCACCAACGATGCTTTAAGTGTTGGAGTTCAAGTGATGGTGGTAATGCACAACTGGGACCTCAGTAAATATAATTTCCTGAACTGAACCCGGGACCTTTAACAGCCAACATTCTTAACCACTAGACTACCACAACCCTCCTGTGAATTCTGTTTGCATTAGCATCTACTGTCTGCAATCTTTCTTAAGTTGAGAAAATGATTGTGTAATATAAATTTCTTAAAGCTTATGGGTCAGAAAGCCAGGATTATGAGTTTTATATAATGTTATTTTTATTATGGAGGGGAATCTGTACTTTACTTCTGTAGTATTTTTGGAAACAAAATGTATTTTGAAAATTGTTTGATGTAACCATTGTTTTAAATTGGATTCAAATCAGATTTTAATTAAGACATGATTAAAAAATGAGACATTAGTGTCATTTAGGAGAACATGTTCACTTTACAGGGGCTCCACTTTACCTAGGATTTCTCCTCCGGATCATGGCAAATAGGGAATGGGGACAACCGATTTCTTCGCTTCACGAGTCCACATGACCAGGACACTTGCTTAAGGCAATACTGGCAAGCCACCATAATGTACATACATTTATGTATGTGTGTGTGTAATCATAATCATTTCAATGTTCTCACTATTATTGTATTTATTATTGCATTATTTCCATTAGTATGCAGTGTGCTGTTCTCTGTTGTGTTTGTAGCCCTGCTGCGTCTTATCATCAAGGTGTTTTGTTTCTCTTATTGATCTGTGTATTCCATGTCTTTGTGATCTGTTTCAGTCTGTTGCAGCCATATAAAGATTTATTGTGCTGAATCACTGTCAGGATGATAAATACACAAACAACTATTTGTAATTTTGTAATCTAGTAAAATCTAGGAGGTGTCACAATGAATTTTTTGTACACATAATGCTAATTTATCAGTTATGCCCACCCATCCGGTTAAGTCTGACATTGTCACAGAGACAGAGCACAAGGAAGACGTTCACAACGAGTAGACCCGACAAAACCAAACTGAACAGACTGGGGTTTATAAACACAGGGCAATCAGGGGAACACAGGTGCATGGAATCATAAAGTAATCAAACTAAACAAAAACAGGAAAAAGACCATAAAAGGAAACACAGGAAGAACTACAGAGGCGAAATGGGTCCAAAAGTATGACATTTCGCCCCTTCCCGGAAGGTGCGTCCTCGCACCGTAGATACAACAGAGGGAGGGATGGGTGGGAACTTGGAAGAAGGAGGACGGACACCCGGGAGGGGGCCGGCAGACAGAGTCCATGGGGGTGACGAAGGAGAGAGGAGCCAGGGAGAAGACAGGAGGGGCTTAGAGCAGGAGGAGCCCAGCTGGAACCCAGGCCACAGCCATTACGATGACCCACGGTTGAGCCGACGGAGGGAGGAACCATGGAAGAGGAATTGCCACCGACTCCAGAGAGCCAACGGGCCGGGGGGAGGCCGAGGATGCCGATGGCGGGCCGACGCCCGACCAAGGCGGAGCCGGAGGGGCGAGGGAGCTGGTGGATTGACAGGTGATGGTGGAGGAGTGGGAGCTAGGAGCCGAGGTGGAGCCGCTGGGTCTACGGCCCGAGGCGGAGTCCGGGTCTCGGAGGCTGGAGGCGGAGGTAAGGGATGCTCCAGCCACGGCGACCATGGAGGATGGCAGACCCGCGGCGCTCGCACGTATTGAT